CCCTTCCCCCACCAAGGCTCACATCCCTCTAGGGGTGACTTCCCCATTCTTTCCAGGGATCCTTCTTTCTGGAAAACCACCAAAACCCCTGGGGAAATGGCTGGTTCTTGAAAAGAACGAATGGCTGAAAAGAATGGGGAATCAACCCCTCCCACGCCTGAGTCCCCATCTTGGACACCAGCTTCGCGTGGTTCCTCGAGATCATCTGCGGGGTGCGCTTGGAGTCCATGACCACGTCGTTGCTCGGCAACCGCCCGATGTTCAGCACCTCCTCGCGAGAAGGAAACCAACGGCTTCGGGAGATGCCCCCGGTTTGGGATCAAAGGTTGGAAAGCGACAGGATCCTACAAGCAACAAAAACCAATGGATGCCCGGTTTTAGATGGTTGTAGGGTTTAACCCAGACTACAAACGGGTACCATTTGTTTGACAGGTCTCCAATAACAAGGGGCTTGGCTGGCTTCCCAGCCTTAGGCAACCTCCAAATCTGCATTTGGCAAGTGAAACGAGACCCCGTTTGCCGGGTTTCCTAAGCCTCTTGGCGTTGTGGGCTCCTAAACGCCAGAGTTTTGGGCAAGCTCTCGGCAAAGCCTCGCACCAATGGGTGTATGATAAGGCAAACCTCCGACACGACGGCCTCTCCTCAGAATCCGAATCACAACCAAGGGTACCCAAACAAAACCCCCACAAAAGGGAACCCCAACAGGCTGCCCAAAAATAGAAATTGCAGCAACTCCAAAAAGGGTACCCTCCCAAAGCAAAGAACATTCATACATGGGCCACACAAACATTTACTTTGTCATCCCACGATCAGAACTTAGGTCTTGGAGTCATCCCCCACAAATTCCCCAATTACTTAGGCCGCTAGACCCCTTGCACCCCCGCAAAGTCCGCAAAGTTAAGTGGGGGTTGATCAATGTTCCCTTCGGCCCCCAGATGACCATGGGGAACTTTCCCCATTCAGTGGTTGAAATACCATCTTCATTGTTCTCCAGCCAATGGTCATCCCATGTATTTTGATCAGCCCCCAAGTCTTTGCTGGATAAAAGGACAATATCTCCTCTCATAGCATCGGGCCCTGTTTCCAAAGCCGCGGTGCCAATCTCCAAGCCCTCCATTCCTGGGTGTGGGCAATTGAAACAACCAGGCTCTCGTCCCCTTTACTTGGTTGCTGTTGACCCCTCTGCAAAAAGTGTAACATGTCCGTTGTGGGTCCAATGGAAGATCCACTGTTTCCCAACAAGTTAAAGTCCAAAGATCCGTTGCCCAATAGACAAATAGCCATCAAATTAGAAGGGAAGCCCAAAGAGACGTTGCCGTTGGAACATGTTCACAGGCCTTGGCCAACATCTGACTCCGCCTCCAAACCCTGATTCCCCCCGGCCTTTGAGACGTAGATCAGAGGGCTGACATGGGTCGAGGGTCGACACTCTGAGGATAGCCTCGCGCTTCTTGAAACATTTGGAGGCATTTGAAGGCATAGTGAGGCTGGTGGAAATATCGATGTGGCTTTTTCAGGGGACCCCCGCCCCGAAAAAAAGGAGGTGTTCCTCTTACCGAAAAGGAACCTGCGAAAGAAGACACACCGATGTGGAGATGAAAGTTGAAGAATGCACTTGAGCAGTGTGTCTAGTAGGGGCGCACAGTGGGTTTTCTTGGGTTCCTGAAACAACCCGGCAAGGGTAGCCTAAGAAAACTCACACTCCTAAACGGCTTGCAATTGGACGCCTCACTCTTTTGCGTAAATCGTGGCTCAGGTAAGTAAAGTATGGGACGGCCTCAAAAGAGATGACGAAAACTTAAGCTCACAGGACCTGTGGGAAAATAATAGAAAAACCTTGGGCTACGCTGGTGGTGGGCGGGCCTTTCGATGTTCTGGATGAGAAATCCTCTAGGTGACCAGCTCCTAAGAATCGATTGAACCTCGGGTGTCAAGAAAATTGGCTTGGTTTCCCTGCGTATCCATTTGCCAGGCCTATATTCTATACCCTTTGCCAGCGTGAGAGGAGTAACAAGATTAACCCTGTGGGTATGAAAGCAGTTTGGGTTCTCCAGAGGGCTCGCACAGTCCATCCTCTTTCGACTCTGTCCATTGTGTTCTTTGGGACACTGACATGTTTTTTGCGGTGTGTTGGCAAGCACTTGTGCAAGCACCTGTTCTTCGGGTGAATTGTGATGATTCACCCACCACCCATAATGTCCAAGAGAAATGCAAGACTACAACCACCATATCAGGCTTCAAATTGTCTGCATGGAGGCAGATTCGGAGGCTCCTGAGCAAGTCGTAGGCAACCTTTCACTTTACTCACTGGGTGGACAGCCGGGCAGCCAAAGGAAAACAACTACACGCAAGCTACTCGTGCCCATGAATGCTGTCCTTCCAAACTGTTCCAAATCCAAGATCCGGTTCTTTCGGCAGGGCAATCATCCGGAGGTAATCTTAATGGCGTCTCACATGAAAGAAATCAAAATCAAACTTGAAAATGATGGCTGCGAGATCTTGCGTGGCTAGGAACGGCCTAAAGTCTCCCGTTTCCTCAATGTTGGCTTTCGCAACTTTCGCAACTGAGCCCAGATGAGATCCAACCGGTTTTTTTCAACCCAAAAGCTTGGTCCTCTACTAGAGCAACTGGCGACAGCCGTGGGCTCAACGAAACTCCTCGTTGGTGAAATTTCCGGTTGCACCCAGTCCTTTCATGTCATCTGCAAATTCCCTCCGATCTCTGGATCCCTTAAACAGGGATCCTTACATTATACACCTGAACATTGCCTTGTAAATTGTGGGTTCCCTGTATTTTGGTGGAAAAAGCAACATGTTTCAAATGGTTGCAAAATGTATCTTTTAAGGAGCCCTGTTAAAGGATACACCTAAGAATCACTATGTAGAAACCCTGTGAAACAGCTGGTGCTGTGGTTTTTGCTGTCAACTTACCGGATTCATAAGCCCCTCCGACTATTTTGGGCGTGTTTTCTCCAAGGGTGATGAATCCCCACTACAAGGGGACAGCCCTTGCTCACAAACAACCTAGGGGTCTTTTAACATAGGGTGAACATTCATGTTGATTCAATGTATCCTTGCACGCCCTCGGAGTGCCATCAGCTTTCGCAAAACGACGCGCCTCAGAAACGCCAGGCCCTTGTTGTCCCCCTCAGGCGCAGGAGTCTGAAGCAAAAGTCAGCATGGCTTGGACCCATTTTGGGAGGGAAACCTGTGTTCCTGCCTCTATTTTGCCCAAGCCCGGCTTCCCACCTCAAAACCAATCCGATGTCAGGCGTCCACGGGTTTCTCCCACTCCCCCGTTTTCCTAACTTCCTGAGACCTTGCTTAGGCCGAAAATAAGGTTCAATGTGGGGAAACCAGGGGATAAACGGGGTATGCGCCAAAAACAGCACTGGGAAATGGGCGGGGAGAAGGTACAACTGGTTTGACAGCTTCAACTTTGTGCTGACTCGCACATTGTTTGCAAGCATTCTCCTAGGACTTCAGATCGAAGCTCCCAACTAGTTTTCGGAGGCTTCCACCAAATCTGGATCGAACTCCTTTTTGTGAACTTATGGCGGTTATATATCCACCCCCCATGGTTGCAACGGTGGTATTCTCTATAAGTCTTATAAGCGCAGGCAGTGAAGGCAGTGAAGGCCATCACATGGTGCCTATCACAGCTTGATTTTATGCTCATATCCCCACTCCAGGGTCACTTCCCGAGCGAATCTCGGCCAAAACGAAAAACGAAAAGCCGAGACTTTTGGTTTTTACGACCTCCGGCGACAACAAAAAGCAGAAAGGCAAAAAAGGTCCCCCCAATTTGCCGGTGATTGGATTTGAAAAAACTCCGGGGAGGATCTGCGAGAAGGCAATAAACGCATACCCTGAAACAGTTGGCGGGCGCGAGCAGCAATAGAAACTGCCCCTTCGGGGCGAAGCGACTCCCTCCGCTCCCCTGCAGTCCTCGGGCTGTCCGGCGCTCTGATCAGGTCTTGCACCTGGCCCGGAGCGGAGTCGGTGTCGGTGGCAGCTTCAGTCACCAGATTTTCCCAGTCGCTTTTCTGGAACGAAATATGGCCATGGGTCAAAAGCCAAATCGTACCCCCAGTGAACATCCCAATCCCCACGAAAATAGGTTCTAAAATGGGTGGTGCACCTACCCCAAGATGGTACCATTGGTTTTGACAACCGCAGCCATATAAGCATCCAGTAGTGATAGATCCATTTAAAAATGAGGGGGAAATGAAGCATATTCTGAAGCAAATGGCAGAACAAAGCATCGGGTTCCACTGAAAGTGCCACTTTTGAAGGTCGATGTCCATTCCCCATACTGTTCAGCTCCATGTCTTGGGCCATTGTCCAAGTGAAAAATCGAGCGGGGAGGTGCAGCAAATGGTGTGCGTTCACTCCCCGCCCACTCCGTGGGTTCAAACTACGATTAACTACTATTGCTTAAACAGCCTCCTTTCAGTTTGAGATTAGGCTAGTTGCTGTATGGCTGTGTTTTACACATGTTGCCCAACCCTGGTGCCTAGAAACCCATGTTATAACCTGCTTGATCATAAGGCCCCCGCTGCAGCCACCCATAAGTGTCCCCCTATTTTGACACATGCCCATTTAGGGAGCTCTGCATATTCAACCAGTGTGTTGCCATTGGAAAAGGGGACAATCCCTACCCTCAACTAGCTGAACACCTGCAGCTTTTGGTACTTGGGCCCGCCTCTCCATAAAGTTCCCGTTGAAGGACAAACATAGGGGAAGAAGTCCCTTTACTCGGGACCCCCCACACATCACTTACACTACTCTTCTTCTAACGCTTCATCCAAAAGCAAACAAGATCATTGCTGAATCTCGTGGATCGAAAGCACCGAGGACATAAGTTTAACGCGCAACAAAGACAATAATCTCAGAAACGTACCAGGGGGTCGTGCCAAGAGTAGCCAAGTCAAATATTTCAGGGCTCTGTTGCAGGATACACGGAATCAGCCCTCCACTACGCATTACACACGTTTTTTCCTCCTTGGTCCAAGTGTTGCATGTGTCGGCCGAACGCCCGGAATGTTCCGGCAAGCCTGTAAGTTGGGAGACCTAACAGCGTGCCCATTCCAAACCACTTGGCAAACTACTGGTCCTCCTGCAGATGTTCATGGAACCCCAACGGTTTCCGGAGGATCATTTTGGGAAATGGACTCCCCTTTTGCGTTCCTTCTATGAGTTTGCAGGGAAGCATTTCATCTCCTTTCCTGTTCCTACTCAAACGGCCCTCTTGCTGGCCATCGCTGCTTTGTCGAGAGGCTTACTTCTCCCGACCCGAACTACGCTGCGCGGACGTGAAAAAAACAATCAAAGTGGATCCACTTAAAGTGGAGCCAGCTGGATCCGCAGTGCACTGAATCGCTATACAGCTGAACTTGGGGATGGCTGTGGCTGACTTCCACTCAGATCTGAACGACCTCCCTGGGCTGATTCACACATTCCATCACCGTGTTCTGTAGCGCCTTGCGCAGCAAGTGGCTCACCTGGGTGTGTCTTTTGTGCGGCGACCCGAAATGAAGGCTAACAAAGGAAAACCGAAAGGAAACCAAAACAAAAGGAAATCCCAAGGAAAACCGAAAGGAACCCAAAACAAAACAAACACCAAGAGGAAATCCTAATCCGAACCGCCAAAAACAGCTCTTGAGGGTTCCATCTCCGAGACCCCCACCTCCACCTGCCCGAAGGAGTTTTCCAGCGCCACCGGCACCTGGATCATTGCTCCGCTGTCCTCGGCAAAGTCCACGTAGTGGTAGGTAATGGTCACCTAGCCCGTGGTGGGCAACGTACGCGGGATTCAAAGCACCAAAGCAATGGCTGGGTCAATACTGTGGATGGACGAAAGCCTGCACCACCTAAGAAACCCTGGAGATGAGGATCCCCTTGTAAATACCAATGAACAACGGTTTCCCATTGTTCCCAAGTAGCGCAGGATTTTGTCCATCCACAGTGTTGCAAGCCATTCTTGTAATGGGAATCGGTTGAAGCCTAGGGTAAGTAGGAGGCGAAATCATTTCTAACTGCTCACACTTACACGCATGTCTAATGTTGGATTTACAGTAGCCCACAACTCGCATTCCAATTATGTATCCCCGAATACCCTTTTGGGGGTTGCAACAAAAACGAAAGGAACACCGTTTGGTGTTTTCTTCATGTTTTTTGGGGAGGGGGGACCTGCAAAATGACATTTTAGGTGGTTCGGTTCGGATTTTTGGCGTGTTTCACGGGCTTTTAAAGAGGCCTCTCATCCCAAAGTCAGTGAGTGGTTCTTTGGCCGCTCGCCTTGCTCCCGGTGCGGTCGAAGCGCAGGGCAGAGGCCGGCAAAGTGGCCTTGAAAAAAAAAAAGAAGCCTCGACGCCCCTTGGCAAACCGAAAGGGGGTGAGTCATTTTTCACTTTCAGCGCCTGCTTGTAAAATGGCTAGCACTATTTCAATGGGGAGCCAATTTCTCCTGGCTATATATATATATCGTTTAGCTGGGGCCCAGCTGGGGATTCAAGTCCAACATCTTTTGATATGAAAATTTATGGCCATGTGGGGCCGGTGGTTTGGGGGTGGACACCTTAGACTGAGGCGATTCCATTCTGTGCTCAGATTGGCTAAACGTTTCTCCGGGGTTTACTGGACATCCCCAAGAAACCCCTAAAAAAAAAAAAAAAGCTGAACAGCTATAAACACCCTATGCGGATGCCTGGGACCCACCCGCATTTTCCTGTTGCCACATGTGATTTGCCTCTTGAGTCCCTATTCTTTGCCTTCTTGGCCTGGGGAGGCCAGGGCGTGGGCGTGTAGTAGAGCTCGAAGATGGCCTGCAGAGCGTTCAGCTGGCTGTCGTGGCCGGTGAAGATTTGGGTGCCCTTCTCAGCCAAGGCGTTCCTCGGAGCAAAAAAACAACCACCCAGAGGCTCCTGGGGCTTCCAATGGAAGACCCGACCCCTCCAGTAGAGACCCTGGAAGTGGTTGGGTCTCAAAACCAAGTTGTTTGAAGGCCCTAAATCAAGCGGGAGCCTCTGGGCAACAAAACAACAAATGCCCCATCCCCCTGTGGGATTTGAGGAAGTACCAATTACCCCCCATGTCCTTTCTTTTATACCCAACCTCTCCAACATGGAAGCCACGGACATGGCCCCCTTTAAAGGAAGCTCGTCGGACCGTGAGGAACCCTTCCCCGTTAGGGTCCAATGGCATCCCAGCTTCAGCACCCAGAAGGCGATGGAGGCCTGGTCGCGCGCCACCAGCTGGGCCGCGGTGGCGGCCGTGCGCGCCCAGACGTGGAGCTGCAGAAACGAGGGCAGCTCCCACGGCCTGAGCTTCGACCACGCCATGGGCATACCACCGGCCCATTCCTTGGAACAGGCGCGACGCGGCGTGGCGTAATTGGCGCTCACCCCCCCCGTCGGTGTTGGGGGAAGTGGGAGTTTGTTTGGAGAAACCCCGTCTTTGAAAGGAAACACATGACCATCCCCCCCTCCCCCGGTTTGTATGGGTGCGTGCTATAGGAAAGCCCTGGCACACGAAAAACAACAACAGCGACAACAAACAATGCGCACATGGCCGTTGGGGTTCCATGAGGAACCGTTCCATAATCGCGCTCGACACATAGCAGGAGCCGCCGAGGTGGAGTTGCTTCGTTGCGCAGGGCCAGGCGGGCCAGTCTCCAGCGGCGCCATCCCCCAAGACCTCCCAAAGCCTCTGCGTCAAATTCGTGTAGCTGGCGGGGTTCGGAAAGCGCCGGACCTGTTCCTCCAAGGCCTTTAATGCTTCCGCTTCAGGCAAGTCTGGACATCCATCCGACTTACTGAAGGGAGCACTGCTCACGGTCAAGACGTCGCTGGTCAAGCCCAATCCCTCCAGCAAAGCACTTGCTGTCTGTTTGTCTCTCTCAACATCATCTGCCACCACGTGGATTGGTTCTGGCAGACTTGCCTTCAGGAAGCGTCCTTGCGCTTGCAGGATGTCGAGGCCTCTAGGAAGGCAAAGCATGGGTGCGACAGGAAAGTCAGGGAATGGCTGCTGGGAGTAGTTGTTGTAAGTCCTGCCCTGAAGTTCGGGTTTGGTGGATCTGGGGCAGTGTCGGAAGACCAAGACACTGGAATCGGGCTGCGCACTCTGCGCACTCTGCGCACTCTGCACGCTCGCATGGCATCCCAGAAACCAGAGTCCCAGGAGACCATGCAGCGACATTCGTTGGCACCTTGCTTGCATGGAAACCTGTGCGGCTGAGCCACTGGCCGAGACCCATGAAATCCGATGAACTTGTTTGTCATCCCACTGCCACCGACAACCACAAAACACGGTTATCTTGAGATCAGCATTTTCTGCTACCCAGAGGCTTTTCGGGGCTTCCAATGGAAGACCCGAACCCTCCATTAGAGACCCTGGAGGTGGTTGGGGGTCTCAAAACCAAGTTGTTTGAAGGCCCTACATCAATCGGGAGCCTCTGGGTACAATAATTCCAGCACCAATTCAACTTCCGGAATTAAACCTTGGGGCCGAAGAAGCAAAGCATCGGTGAGCTCGCTTGGATTCTCCGGTTTGGCTCGGATCCCCGGATCACGCCTGGCTGAACGCCATCTGATTTCTGGGCCTCCTTGGCGGATCCTGGCGGATCCGGGTTTGGCTCAGCTGGCGATGAATTTACTGAGCCACCTCAAATGATGTCCAATTCAGGGTTCCTCATTAAAAGTCAAAGGACTCACCTCAAATGTGGCTGGTGGACATGAAGCCCCACCTAAATGATGTCCACCACAGGGTTCCTCATAAGTCAAACCCAGCTGAAGTCCCTGAAGCATGCGGGGTATTCCACTTGAGGACTGCCTCTGTAGCCAGTGCGAGGTGACACCCTTGGCTTGATGGATTTGAAGTCCCAAGAACTGAAGACACAAAGAAAGGCGCCGCAGCTCTCAGCATTGCTCTGGTTGCCACTTTTGGTGAAAACCAGCCCCGCTCTTTTGTGAGATATTTTTTCTCTCCAGAGAAGGAGCCCAACGAAAACAAGCTTTTGTCAAAGGGGAACTCAGAGGGGGGGGCCATATTTGGGTTCCAGGTACATGTTGCACACCCCGTCGAAAAATCCAGCCCCAAAAGCTTAGCCTCCAGGATTCCCAAAGGTCAGTGTTCTTTCGTCACCAGGGTGAACCCCGTGTCAAACCCATGGAAGACACACAAACTACTCCTTGCTATGCTCTCGATTTGTTTTTGGAGTGGGGGGGCAGAGAATCGGGTCCAGTGGCCAGCTTCACTTAGCCGTCTCCTTGCACACTGGCCACAGGCCGTTTAGTCCGGGCCCGCTTCTTGACAGGCTCCATGACCTGCCAGCGAACAAGCTGAGCCGTGAGCTGCGAATGAGCTGAAATGGGGCAAGGGAACCAGCCCTAGGGATTTCTTTCAGCTTGAGGGTCAAAAACGATCATAGGATCCAACAAATAAGGCACAGAAATAAAAAGAACGAGACGTCGAGCAGAATGGACACACTTATGCCTAAAAAAAGGACCCCAACGGGGTTCCCGCAATTTCAAACCCCTGTTCGAAGGAAACGAGCCACTTTGGCTGGGTCGAGAAGGTGATGGGGCTAAGCCCGAGGGAAATATTTCGGGAGCCCTGGTGACCGGCTTGCCAGGGTCGAACAAAGAGGTTTTCAGCGGGTGCAAGGCTCACTGGACCGAGTCAGGGGGAAGAACCGGCTTAAGGCGCTCAAGGGAGGGAGCTCTGAATGAGTGGGACTAGGGTTGCTTGGCTCCTACATGGTCGGAGAATCTTGTTACCACGCTAAGGGGGGATAAGTGGAGGGTCAAGTGGGGAATCACAAGTGGGAGATAGGTGTGGTTTAACCCATGTAAGGCTAGCTCCTGGGCCATTCAGGCACGTCCGTTGCCGATACTCCAGGGTCCATGTGATATTTACCAACATTTGGCACGTTGGTATGGCAAATGTATGTACACATCCCATATGTCTGATTTTGCAAACAACAGACTGACGGGTTCCGCTGGCTCACGGAAATCGCTTACCAACCTGATTCCAGTTCCCGTCTGTTTCAACAATGTCGGTAAGTGCCGATTGGATCGCATAGCCAAACAACACAAAACGACATCACTGTGCTTGACAGCTTGCAAACCGAAACGCAGAAAGGTGGCTAGAGCGTCCAAGCCGCTGAAGTTGGGCGGTTTCAAGGTTTCTCTTGGGCAACCATAAATGTCTACGCAGATGGGAACTGGATACCACCCCAAACAGGCACGAAGCAAAATCAAATCCAACTGTGGAAGTTGGGGTTGTCCCCGCCTCCCGTCCTCCCCAAAGCGAAGTATAGACTACCAATAATTGCATCAGTTGCCCCCAACCTTGCCCTTCCCCCAAAATCCCCGGGGGGGGGTGCGCAATTGCGCAACCCACGACTCGACTTCCCCACTTGGCTGCCGTGCCGGATCGCGCCAGAATTGCCATGGCTCAACTAAACAACTCGAGCTGAGGACATCGGCGCCCGTTTTCGCAGAACCACCATCCAACCGACCAACCAACCACCCAGCCACCAACCAAACAACCAGCCAGCCAGCCAGCCAGCCAGCCAGCCAAGTATCGAACCAACCAACAGCCAACCCAAATGCTTCTGGCAGATCGCTTCCTTCAAGACTATGCAAGCCTGTGATCATCCTGCTTCCAGTCAAGCCATAGCAGGTAACCTGAACAAAAATCTCAAAGCAAGCATGGCCTCACCAGACTGTATCACTGATTTCCCAAACCTACGGCATGTTAGCAAAGAGCAACCACCGATTGCCGGTCGGCAAACAATTAGTATGTTGGTTGGTTACTCCTCATCTGGAGCAACACATTCGACAGAATCAAAGCCACTGCATTCTTTGCTACCTACCCCACGCGCCTTCAACTCCAGCAATCTGCACGGTTGTCCTTTTGCCACCTTGTTGGGAGAACATTGGTCCAAATATGTCCTGCACTTTTTGGGGAGGCCATGCACTTTGCCCCAAAGTGGCTTGGCAGGACCCTGACAAAAGGCCAAGACTCACGCCAACATGTGTGCAACATGCGGTTTGGCCATGCCAGCAAATGCCTTTGGTTGCGAACCCCAAGCGTCCCCTGTATGGCCCGGAAGTTGCCGGCTCGGCTTTCTCATCGATTCGGATGACACCTTTGTCCGGGGCCAATGCCCCCTCCTTGGCCCAAACCCAGACTAAACACATGCTTCAATTCTGTTCCATGTTGAGTCTACCGTTCTCGTTTGGAGCAGGAAAAAACCGCTTTTTTGTTTGCACTGACGACATGGTAGCCTACGGTACCCGGTGACACACGGCTGCCCTTCTGGCAGGATCGGTGGCCCGATGCCCACGTCGCACCGTTCAATTCTGAAGGAGTGGATTTGGCAAAGAAAAACACGGAATGTTGCTTAGCGCCCAGCTGTCTGGGATGTCCTGGAGAAGGGAGCCACCCTTTGATTAAACAAATAATGGGCAGTGTTGTCACCTAACTAAATAGGGCGCTGACAAAATCAAACAAATACAAATGTACTATACCCTTTCGCACATGACTGTCCATTCAACAAACAGCTACTGTACAAAATCACCAAGAGTGTCTGGGTTTCACTGAGCACTGCAAGTGTGATCAATGCCGTTGGCCATCGACGGCGTTGTGATGGCCTCATTGGATCGCCGGCAGGATCTACATGAGACCCACCACTCGGGTTGCGAGGCACGATCTAAGCATCTGTGGGAAAACACGGCGTCGCACAGTGGTCCCAGCGGAACAAAAGGACTTCACCCTTTCTTGCTTGGTTCTGGAAGGACAAAAGACAAAAGGCTGTGGGTCAAAAATACGTGCCCAAAATGGAACGTTGGTAAATGAAAACATGGACTAAAACCTGCGGTTCCCTGGTGGTTTAATTTTGACCCATACCCAAAACATGAGGGGTGAACTAAGATGCCGCGTTGCTTTGGCTTACTTCGGATGTACAGTACCCATTGAGGACCCTGTCTCAGTGGCCCAACCAAGGGGAAACAGGACCGCTGCTTACCATTTGTGGGAAACCCACCAAACCAAATTAAAGCAAGGTCATGGTTCCAACGGTTGATTCCCCATTCCTTTCAACCATCGTTCTTTTCAAAAACCGACCGTTTCCCTTGGTTTCTGGAGGTTTTCTAGAAAGAAGGATCCCTGGAAAGAATGGGGAAGGTACCCCTAGAATGGTAGGTGTTTCCAAAGCCCCCGCTGGACAACTGGCACTAAATTCCTCGTGCAGCGGTTGAATTGTCGTCACCTTCCGGCGGAGTTGCTTTGGGGGTACATTGTGCTGCGTGCATGGTTCCGTTCCATGTTTTGATTGGCCCAAGGTACACCAAAATCCAGAGGTCCAATCCTTCCGAGGAAATCAGCCACCGTTGGGTTTTAGTCGAGCCCAATGTCAGTTTGCGCGATTTGTAACCCTCAAAGAAAAACAAGTATCACTTTGAAAAGGCCTGACTAGTTGAACTTGGTGCCTTTTGAATTGTTGGCGCACAATTCTACTTTTGTATTCGAAAAGCCCAACTGCAGCACGCTCTGCACATCGGCTTCCAAATCCAATGGCAACGTTCATGTCGCTTGCTCTGCCCAAAGGCGAGACAGAGAACAAGGACCCCATGATTGCGCTGTCTGAGTTAAAAGGCACGCCCAACCAAACAAAACAAAATGGCCACGGACAATTCAGCCATGCTAACAAGACCGATACTCCTCTGCGATGACTAATGGCACTCAACATGAACAGAAGGGCTCAATTGGAGTAAATCACGCTTCCACGCGAAATGGACATTTGTGAGGTCAATCCCCAGAACTGCGTGGGCGTATCTTATGGCTGCATCCACAGCTATCGTGGGCCAACCGGATCAGCGAGGACTCAAGACCAGGATTTCAGAGCCTGAATCGAAGAGACTTCTCTAAACAGTTCAAGCGACCCGTCCGAAGGGAGCCCAACCGAAGCATTTGGGGCACCCATGAACCCGTAGTTCCCGAAGAAAACGAGAAAAACGCAAATCAAACTCAAAGCCTTCACTGTCTGGGCCTGAAAAGGGAAAGCGAATGGATGATTGCCCCAGCTTTAATGGTTGAACAAGCCACCTGTATTCGACTGTATGCTGTTGCTGTCGTTGTCGTTGGTGTTGCGGTTGCTGTTGCGGTGTTTTTTTGTTGTGATTGTGGTTGCGGTCGTCGTCGTGGTCGTGGTCTTTGTGGTGGTTGTGGTGGTGGTGGTCGTTGTGGTTGTGGTTGTGGTTGTGGTTGTTGTTGCTGCTGCTGTTGTTATGGTTGCTGCTGCTGCAGATGTTGTTGTTGTTGTTGTTGGTGGTGGTGGTGGTTGTTGTTGTTGTTGCTGTTGCTGTTGCTGTTGCTGTTGCTGTTGCTGTTGCTGTTGCTGTTGCTGTTGCTGTTGCTGTTGCTGTTGCTGTTGCTGTTGCTGTTGCTGTTGCTGTTGCTGTTGCTGTTGCTGTTGCTGTTGTTGTTGTTGTTGTTGTTGTTGTTGTTGTTGTTGTTGTTGTTGTTGTTGTTGTTGTTGTTGTTGTTGTTGTTGTTGTTGTTGTTGTTGTTGTTGTTGTTGTTGTTGTTGTTGTTGTTGTTGTTGTTGTTGTTGTTGTTGTTGTTGTTGTTGTTGTTGTTGTGTTGTTGTTGTGGTTGTTGTTGTTGTTGTTGTTGTTGTTGTTGTTGTTGTTGTTGTTGTTGTTGTTGTTGTTGTTGTTCGTTGTTGTTGTTGTTGTTGTTGTTGTTGTTGTTGTTGTTGTTGTTGTTGTTGTTGTTGTTGTTGCTGTTGTTGTTGTTGTTGTTGTTGTTGTTGTTGTTGTTGTTGTTGTTGTTGTTGTTGTTGTTGTTGTTGTTGGTTGCAGCCGCGTAACGACCCTGTGTTATTTACCATAGCGTGAAAATTGGCCATTTTTCCCTCTGAATGATTACAGACAACACTTCTGGGTCGCTACGCGGTTTGTCGCCAGCAAGAACAACCCGCACTGCGCACATGCCTGGCACATGATAAGAACACCCGCTCACGCGCATCATCTCACGACTGCACACATGCCTGGCACATGATAAGAACACCCGCTCACGCGCATCATCTCACGACTGCACTCATGCCTGGCACATGATAAGAACACCCGCTCACGCGCATCATCTCACGACTGCACACATGCCTGGCACATGATAAGAACACCCGCTCACGCGCATCATCTCACGACTGCACTCATGCCTGGCACATGATAAGAACACCCGCTCACGCGCATCATCTCACGACTGCACTCATGCCTGGCACATGATAAGAACACCCGCTCACGCGCATCATCTCACGACTGCACTCATGCCTGGCACATGATAAGAACACCCGCTCACGCGCATCATCTCACGACCGCACACATGCCTGGCACATGATAAGAACACCCGCTCACGCGCATCATCTCACAACTGCACACATGCCTGGCACATGATAAGAACACCCGCTCACGCGCATCATCCCACGATTGGCACTCATGCGCTGTCACTTGATAAGCACACCTGCTCACATGCGCATCATCTTCAACGACTGCAACTCAAGCTGGCACTTGAAAAAAAGTAGAGCACCCGTTCACGCGCACCACTTTCACGACTGCACACCATGCCTGGCACATGAGACGCACCACCCGCACACGCCATCATCTCACGACTGCAACTCATGCCTGGCACATGAATAGAACACCCGCTCACCGCGCTCATCTCACGACTGCCACTCCCCTGTCGCATGATAAGAACACACCGCCTATCACGCGCACATTCACGACTGCACTCATGCCTGGCACATGATAAGAACACCCGCTCACGCGCATCATCTCACGACTGCACACATGCCTGGCACATGATAAGAACACCTGCTCACGCGCATCATCTCGCGACTGCACACATGCCTGGCACATGATAAGCACACCCGCTCACGCGCATCATCTCACGATTGCACACATGCCTGGCACATGATAAGCACACCTGCTC